AAAACCTGATCTAACAAAGGGCGAAGAAAAGAAAGGAGAAGCTCAAAATGAAGAACAGAAACCAACTGAAGTGCCAAACGAGGAAGAGAAAAAGGAAGAGCAGAAACGAGTCGAACAGTCAAAGGAGGAGGAAAAGAAGGGTGAAACTCCGAGGGAAGAACAAAAACTAGCTGATGCGCCAAACGATCAAGAAAAGAAGGAAGAAAAACCAACTGATGCGCCAAAAGACGAAGAAAGGAAGGACGAGCATAATTCAAGTGAACCACCAATTGAAGGAAAGAAGGAAGAAAGCTCGAAAGATGAACACAATCCAACTGAATCATCAAAGGTCGAAGAAAAGAAAGATGAAGGTGCGAAAGATGAAAATAAACCAACTGAACCCTCAAAAGGGGAAGAAAAGAGAGAAGAACATAATGCAGATGAACAACCCAAAAAAGCAACAGAGTCAGGAGAAAAGCAAGCCGCAAAACCAGAAGATGTAAAATCCTCTGAAGCACCTAAAGAAGCTGAGCAGAAAAAGGATGAGAAGTCTGAGGAGGCACCGAAGAAAGGCGAAAAAGCCCCAGAAGAACCAAAGGTAAGCGAACAGTCACCAGAAGCACCAAAAGAAGAAGGAAAACCTGAAAAGGAACCTAAGGCAGATGCGAAGCCAGAGGAGAAAGAAGCAGAAAAAGCTGGTGAAGGCAAAGCGCTTGACGAGTTGAAAGCGAAAAATGCTGAAGAGGGAAGTTCGAAGAATCCGGAAGTAAAGCAATAAAAACACGTAAGTTCTGAAAACATTCATTCAGCTACTTTTTATCAATCGGGGACTTCTTTGATTGGGGAAATCTCGGAAAATTACGTGAATTATAGAGAAGAATTTGTTAGTTCGTCACCATGAAATCAAAAAAAAAAGCACAACTAGTTGTGCTGCTGTTGCTGCATGCACTTGCAAGCTTTCGCCCGCGAGCATCTAGTGAAACGTTCTGCATACCAAGAGACCTGCTTTTTTCGTGGTGTCTCCGTTGCTGTAATGGAAGAGTGGGCACGAATATTAATAATAATGACAATCATAATAATAATCGTAATAATAA